TGGAATGCAAAAAAAAAAAGACCCATGTGATTGCTACTCAGTCATTTTTAAAGCAACTGAAAGAAATATTTGCTGAGCTAACCTCATTCTCCCATTGAGCTGGTACTGCTAGGTTTTTCTATGTAAGAGGTTTAAACAGTTATTATAGTGTGTCATAAATTTTAACTTGTAATTGAAAATCTCTCCACTTCCTCAAGAAAAAAAAATCTGTATTACTTGCTATGTAATTACAGGCTACGCAGCTGCTCTCTTCGGCTTTGCTAGGAAATCTGAAGACATGAAACACTGCACAAACCTTATTCAAATTTTATTAAACTGCTTATCAAAGACATGTCACTCTCATACTGGAGGCTCACAAATAATACCACCTTCTTCCTATTCTTGGGACTTAAAAGCAGATGAATCAAAAGGAGATCCTGGCCATACTAAGTTACAAGTCAGTACTGCAGTTCTTGCCTTTCAGAAGACCATCAGGTACTTTGCAGGATAATATGATCTCCATTTCTGCCAAGCAGTCAGCAAAGGGAAAACTAGCCACCTGAATGTGTGATTGGAAAGAGCTCCACATATAAAGATGAGCTTTAGTAATTTTCAAAAGACCCTGGTCATTCCGCAAGCCACCTTTGCCTCAATTATTTCATGAGCTTTAGTAATTTTCAAAAGACCCACAGCCACCTTTGCCTCGATTATTTTAGTGCATTTTTTGTGCTGTTTTCTTGTGTCACGTACAATGAAGGGAATTCTATTCATGACATAGGGAGCCTCACATTGCTGCCAAAGGTGTAAGACGAGGGACCCCACAATATCCTGTTCACCTTCAGTAATCTGACATGAGTCATACTTGATTAATTATTCCCCAGCCTTTGTGCACTGGGGAAGCTATGGTTTGACGCTGAATTTTTAGAGCAATTAAAATAAAATATACACTCTGTGCCTGTATGCTCGATTCACAACACATTTCAGTCTTGGGTCACTGGTTCAAAATGGACAGCTTCGGGAACAAAGCTTTGCACCCCCCAGGCTTTGCACCCAGGCTTTGCATTGTACGTATGGTCTCCCTAGCGGTGCAATATCAAAATTCTTAACAGCAAAACATTATTTTGATGGGACTGGTTTATGGTCTACAAAGAATTTTCAAGTCTGAAGATTTAATTTAATTTATTATCATAAAGGAGTTATGAAAATGGTTAGCACAAGCAGAATATTGCCACTGTTTCCATTTGCACTGGGCGCTTCTTAGCACCTTACTTCTTACCCACAGGTGCACAGAAAAGCTCCGTGATGAATACCAAGGTCTTTGAAATTTCAGGATAGTTCTATTAAATTTTGGAAAAGTAACTCCCTTTGACTGCTACTGATGTTTCTTTTCCAAATTTGAAAATCCTGTAGGAAAAATAGGAAGCACTTTAAGATTTTAACTGTGAAAATGTGGAATCTAGAAATAGCTGAAATTTGGAATGAAGCTTTGCACCTTCAGACCAATCTGATTTCTACCTATTCTCAGTTTCAAAGCATGGCAGTTTGAAACTTTTGGGGTGATTACATAAACAATTCAATAAAATCCCTGAATTATGATTTTAAGTACTAGTATTTTCAAATCTTTTAGTCTCTTTAGAAGTTGCTTTTATTTTTTAATTCAATCTAATTGCAGCTGAGTTGCACTCAGTTCACCAGAGACCTTTATAATTAAAACTGTAATAGTCTGAAATTCTTTCCAATTATTACGCAGCAAACCAACTGGTGGAGCTGTTTACATATGTCATTAGAACTTATTGTGATTATTTATTATCTCTTTGATCTCACCTTTTCATCAAGAAAGCTAAAAGGAAGTAGGATTAAAATTTAGAGAAGGATTTTTTGAAAGACTATGCAGTCAGTAAGAGGGATTGTGATACAGAACAAAATCTCTGCCCTTCACCGGGAGTAAACTACAGAAACAGTATACATGCAAAAATTAAAAATTCAATTTATCACACTCCGTTGTCACTGCCATGGACACTTTTGAAAACTGAACTAGCAGCAGAAAAAATAACAGATTGGCAATAATTGTTGTAATAAACACCTACTACAGTAATCAAGGGATGATGCCACAAAAAAAATATTGAAAAAAAATAGACAGATGTGCAAAGAATGGTTATTAGCTGTAGAAACAAGAACTTGACACTGAAAGCTGTAAGACAAATAGCTGTGCAGAACTGCTCAGAAGAAGGGCTTATTTATATGGAAAGAATAACAAAGGGAATTCTTTGAGGGTTTCATACTTTAGTATAGATCTTACAGTGCTTAGAATACAGAAGTTCAGAAGACAAAAGCTAGGTTCTGGCTAAAAAAAAAAGAAAAAATCTCTTACCATCAAGGAGGAAAAATTTATCTTCTCAATTATTGAAAATTAAAAATAAAACTATTATAAGATCACTTTTTTACCCAATAATTCAGATTACATATGGATCAATTTCTTTGTCTACATTTAAAAAAATATAGGGAAAAGAAAGCTTTTCTTCCAGATATCTCAAATTTAGCTTCTTTGACTGGCACAGTCTGGAAACTTCCACTCTTTGGTGATGAAGACTGCTGATGTTTATAGTTATATAAATTACATATTTGTTTTAGAAAATAAAGCATAGAGTCCTGCTTATCAGAGATGTTTGCTTTTGCAGTGTAGATTCTGGATTATGCTCGACAAGCACAGCACACGTGGCTCAGGTGGTGGCAAGTCCCTCCATGAGCAGCAGCTGTGGATCTCCTCCATCAGGTGAGAGGGTCTCCAGCACCCAGTTCTGAACTGTGGCCCCTTCCTTGCTCATCCCTATGATATTCTGGGAAACAGACATGAATAAAGCCACATTCTCACTTCTAATTTTTATATGCCAAAATACAGGGAATGCAGTGTTAAATTGTAGTGTAAAAAAGAACACAACTTTGAGAGCAGTTTCTATGCATGAAGTTGATTACTATCAGAAATTATCTGATGAACCTCCCCTTCCTTCAATGAAGACTACAGTGAAACACTTCCAATACTTTCTATTTCATTTCTTCTTCTCAGAGATCATAAATGAACAAAAACAACCTCAGAACACATAGTGCTAATGCTATGTTCTCAAGTATAAAAGAGAAAGAAAGAACAAAGCTATTAAAAGCAAATTAACTCATGGAATATGCAACTTAATCAAAGGCACTGTCAGTACATCATGTATTATTTCTACTTATGAGACCTAAATGTAGTCATGACTTAAGACTACAGCAGCAGTGAAACAGCAAGACATTAAATCATTGAAGCACAATGTAGTTACTATGGGCTACTCTACAATGCACAGTTAAACAGTGAGCAAAGAGAAAAATTCATCCTGACATCAAAAAGTTTGCTCTTCAGAAAAATATTTTATGCATTGGATGCACACATCTATGAACATAATTAACGAAGAAGCTATGCCATTTTAAAATTTGTTTTAAATTGCAAAGAAAGATAAAATTTCAAAAATCATACAGATAAAGAAACATTTTTCCTGTATTATGTATTACTAAATTAATAATTACATGAATCTATTTAAATGCATGATTGCATATTCAAAGAAAATATATTACAGTGTTGAGGATATGGAAATTCAGACAGGTATTCTCCAATTCCAGCTTTGTTATTTTATTAAATATTTTGACACAGAGAAACAAGATTATAAATCCAAGATATAAACATGACAAAGTGCTGTGTGGCTAGCAGGAATTTTGCCACCAGTTTTCATGAAATGGTAAGTGACATTAAATGCCATATTTAGCAATTGAAATGAAAACTGCCAGATAACAGTCTTACCCCATTTCACCTTGTTGGGGTGAATACATACAGCTTGCTGTGATAAAGAAAGCTGACAGCAATGTCTAACTTGTTTATAGCTCAGCCCAATTTAGCAGCGTGCTCACAGCACACTTAATATACACTGACAGGATCAAACAAGTCACCAACACCATTGCAGCTGCTCTTTCTTAAAGAGCACGATTGGAGGAGCAGAAATAACCCTGGCAGCCAGCCTGCATAAAAGACCACCAGTGTTTACAGCACTCATTCAATGGGCGGAAGACCTGGATTTTTTCCTTTCTTCAAAGTATGTCTGCTATGTTCTAGGAATGACCAACACTGATGGAAAACAACCAACCGCGGGGTGCGAAGAAGCTCTGCCTCATGTCTCCCATGGAATTTAACTGTACTGAGCAAAAAATGAAACAGGATTCACAAGGTCTAAAGGAGAGGACAGGTGAGGGAGGCACGGATTCTCATTCTTGTTCCCAGACCTATTTCTGTTTTTTTTTTTTTTTTTTTTTTTTTGATTTGTTAATGGCTCCAAAGCCTATTCTAGATGTAATTCCAGAAAGCAGGCATCAAATAAATACAGCATCCTCCCATTCTCCTGATTACTCAAGAATTTGCTCAGCATCTGTTCCAGATTAAAGGAATCTCTCTTGAACACAACTGGCCTGTTCCAGATGAAGCATTTCAACTTTGTTTTCCACTTCTGACTATTATTTCCACAAGTGGAAGATTTCCTTCTGACACCCAGCAGATACTGGGGAAGAAGCCAGCAGAGCCAGCCACAGGGTTCTGGTTCTAATTCATGCAGCCAGTGTGACAAGCAGCTTTGCAACTGCCTGGCCAAATTTTCTCCCTTTGGATACCAGCACGTGATTATTAAGGCTACTAGTAAGAGTAGCCTTAGTAAGACATTCCTAAAACTTTTTTTCCAAATTTTTCCTTTCCTCCAGCAAATTCAGTGAGTACTCCTATATTCACAATAACTCTGCATCAATTTCTTTCCTTCTGCCCAAACGCGTTACCTGAATAATTCAACTAGAAGAGGTTCCCCTGCTCAGCTGCCCCTGGAACACATTTTACACGTGGCAAAGAGTGGAGAGATGGAAAATAAAACTCTGCCATAATTTCTGGTAACGGGCGATATGCCTTAGGCAGTGACTCGGCGACCGCAACGTGGAAGCGTCGCGAGCGCCGCGGGCACCTTCCCCTTCCTCTCGGCAGGTCCGCGTCGTCTTTCCTCCACCGCACGGTGGGCTGCGGGTCTCCCTGCACCTGGCACCGGAACTCCACGGCCTCCTCCTCCAGCACCACCTGGTTGATCGGCCTCCGCAGGAACGTGGGCCGCTCTGCAGAGACACCAGAAAATCCCTCGGTGAGCCACAGTGCCAGCACACAAACTTTTGACTTTTCAGCATTTTTTCCCCCTTCTCCCCCACACAGAATGGAGGCAGGAGGCCGAGTTCCACAGACTCAGACAAGAGGAACAGATGCAGCGGCAGCCAGGTCGGAGATGGAGGCAGCTCTCACACGTGGCCCGAGCGCAGGCCCCAAGCGCTGCCAGGACCGCGGGTGCCACCAGAGCCCACCGCCCACGGAAAGGCCTCCCAAGCTGGGCCCTCTCTGTGAGCGTGGGGGCTCAGCACCAGGCACGTGCAGGGAGCCATTTAAAAGCTGCTGCCTGCTCTAGGAACACATGAGTTGCCAGTGGCGGAATCCTACCTTTGGCAATAATCAATGCCTCGATGCTTTGGATGAAAACGAGCTCTCTTACGAATCTCAGCCGATCATGTACTACTGTACTGAGGTCAAACCTTCCCTGATCTCCATCACCAACTTCACCACGGAAAACTAAATTAAGCTCTGCATAATAAGTTCTGTTTACCCTTGTTATGTTAGCCTGTGCAGCTACAAATATTATTAATCATCATAATATTGCACAGGCCTGCTTAAAATCCAGATGCAGAGACACAATCTGATCTCAGTTATGCTGGTACAAATTCAAAGTACCGGTAATTTCATTTGAAGGGATGTCGCTGGGGTTGGTTTCCAAGTTGCCTTTGGAGTGTATAAATTTTGTTCTGTCCCCTCCTATCCATACCCACACTTTCATTGTCATAAATCATTTATGCCAGAGACAAACTGTTATAAGACTGAGGTACATGAAGCAGGATTCCCACTCAGGACTGGTATTTTTATTTTAAAGGCATTTAAAACTGGCTACACACTTTGGATCACCTTTCATTCTCTGTACATTGACAAATATGACTTCGCTTTAAAAATTATTCAAAATTCACACAAATGTAAGCAATACCAGGCTGACTCTGGCAGTTTGTCCTGCTAACTACAGGGTTGAGTTTATAGGTTGACTATCCATGCTTATTAAACATAAATACAAAACATCCAGACAACATTAATAAGGTTGCAAAATCTTGCAGGCAGCACATATGAAGTGCCAAAATAAAGACTTTCTACATGTCCTTTAATCACTCTCTGTTTATGCCTCATATGCCTTACTGGTTGCAATTATATGATCGCCTTACTCTTTTTTCCCCAAACATCCCTAGATTGTTGGTAGTCATTTAATGAAGAGGTGCTTAATATTTTGCTTTACTTGTACTATTTAGAGGGTGGCCTCCTATCATATTATTCGAACCTCAGTCCGAAGACAGATTTACTAATTTCCTCAGGACCTACCATAATACCATAAACAATTATTTTCACAACTTTTCTTGACAGATTTACTAATTTCCTCAGGACCTCAATTATACCTACCATAATACCATAAACAATTCCTTTATTTTCACAACTTTTCTCTGAGTGAAGTGTGATGGAGAACTAGAAAAGGAAGGTAAGAATGCCTCTAAATGGGTATGCCCAACAAGACACAGAATGTTTTTTTTTCCTTTTGAGAATTGTGCATTTTTTTTCCGCTATGTTCAAAGCTTAGATTCCACTGAATTCAGTCACAGTTGGTAAAATGTTCAGCACTTGTACCAATAAGAATCTTAACTGAGAAATGAGGAACCCCAAAATGGTGCCCAGCTATTAGCAGTTTAAATGAATTACACATCAGCACATAGGAGAACCATTACAGAAGCGGTGATACCCATCAGCAGAGAAGGATGCATTTTGCCAGCAGAAGAGCAGGCACACTCAAGAGCCTTCTCCAGATGCTAAAGATGTGTCGAGGGAGCAGAGCTGCTTCTGCCCATCCCTCCCACACTCTTGTGCCGCTCTTCTTGTTGCCTGAGCTCTACCTTGCAGGTCCCAGCAGTTCTCGGCAAGTAAGTTCAGGCCTAGTCCTCCTCTCCACCCTGAAATCCCCGAAAGTTTGTTCCCTTTTCCAAAATCTGTGTATCAGCTCTGTCCAGTCCTGTCTTCAGCTCCTTGTCCGGAGTTGCCTTAAACAGGTAGTGTCTCTTCATCAGAGTTTTCCTTCTCTATGCACTGCATTCTGTCTCCTGCCTGTTCCCAGTCTCAGCTAGCTTCTGTCCTACCTGTACCTACATGCCTTATCCAGTCTGGGCCAGCGTTTCAAAACCCTTCTATTTTGTTCCATAATTTTGCCATTTTTTTCCAGCTGCAGCCTGGTTCCACAGCTGACTTGTCTCTTCCTCACCCAGAATATTGCTGTTCACAGCTCATGCCCAGCAGGCACACGAGTCCAGTCTCCCTTCCAACTATCCATGCCTCTAACTTCTTTATGTCTTACACCAAACTGCCTCTCTCCCACTCTTCATTTCATTTACACTCAAACTCATACAGCCCATTCCTGAATATTGCTGCAAGGAAAACTGTCTGGAGTAACCAAGCATCACCCCAGGACATTGACAGGACTACCACACTGCAGCTGCGGGAAAACTGCCGTTAACATCTACCTGGTCTCTGTGGAGTCTTAACTTATTTTATTTTCCAAGTCTGGAAAGTCTGAACTTACTTACTTTATTTTCCAAGAGGTTCATAATTAACTCAATCCTGTCAAAATTACTTGGAAAACTCCAAAATGTTCAATGTTCTTAGAAAAGAATGACTATTCTCACAAAGTTAAAATAAAAATGATAAATAAAATAACATTTTAAATAAATACAATAAATAATAAAAATAATCAGGTGAAGCAGACATTAGACATGGAAAACTTGGGATAGAGTAGTTTTAGTTTGGCAAGTTCGGCAAAACTGAAGAAAATAACTAGAACCTTAACCTTCATTAATCTTAGTGATAAGCAATATCCTTGGTCTGTAATTTTGTGGATCTAAAAGGGAATATCTTAATGAAACTTTCTCTGGGTTAGCAAAATCCTATTCCCAAACTCAGCTAAAAGACCTCAGCCCAAACCTGCTCTGAGCTCAGACACACTATGCGCTACACTTCAGATGATAAAGCTAAACTAGGAAATCAGATTAGAAAATTAAATCTAGAAATTAGATCCAGAACAGTATCCTCACAGGTTAAGATGACTTAAAGGTCCCCTATCATTCATATTATTTTAAAAAATTCTGCAGGTGCCTGCATGCAGACTTGGTCTGTGAGTGAAGTATTTTACACCATGTTTATAAAAGCTGCCGGTACACATCTAAGATACTAATGCATGCATATTTATGAAATTGCTGCTTGTGGCTATAAATGTTTCTTTACAGAAGATGGGAAAATAAATTCCCAATATATTTTGAGGAGAACCAAGCTGATGAGGCAGTAAGTGGTCCAAAGGCCGTTAGGCAAAACACTCAATTCCACAGCAAAGCAATTTAAGAGTATACCTGTTTCCTTCAGACCAGTTCCTCAAAACTGTATATTTTCCACAACAGTTAATATTTTTTGAGAAAATAAATAGCTACAAGAGTACTGATCATAGTTATCAAGGACATGCAAATTACAAGAAGTGTTATTTCCATTTTGCCATCATCTCTGCATTCCGCACAGTGTGAACCAGGGAAGAACAAGTTCTCTCTCGTGTTGTTTCCTGCATTTGTATCACTCAGACAACCCCTTGAATATGTCCAATAGCTAATTATACAGCTATAAAGTGATCAGAGAGAATGCCATTGCCAATGCAATTAACATTCTTTATGTGAGATTAACTGGATTTGAGTCACCTGCATAAGTTGCTTACAATGTTAATCTCTCAGGAGACAGAGCACTGCTTGCTTGAGCATGCTAAACAAGGAAGGCTTCCTCTCACAAGCAGGTCAGATATCGCTCCGGAGCCAAAGCTGAGAAAATGCCTCTTGACTTTTCCTTTCTCAATCATAACAAAGCCTTGTGCTATAATTAAACATTGTTACTCTGTCAACGGCATTCAGAACATAATATACTTGAGAAACAACAAGAAGAAGCAATAAATTAAAATTACAGACATATAATTTTTAATATAGCTGTTTTATAAGCTTTCGCTGAGTAAATAAAGTACCTGCTTGCCCAGACTTTCTCTAATGAATATTAAAAACCTTTGAAGAGAACTATAAAATAGGTCATGGTTATATGTCATGTCAACCAGTTGTGCTATTACTAGAGTGACCTTTATAATGTCGGAATAAACTTTGCTTGCACTTATAAAAGGGGATTTTTAAAGCAATTGGGATAGACACCTACAATATGTTGCAGTGCTTGAGATATGCATTGCAAGAAAACCTGAGTTAAATAGCTCAGTGGCTGCAATTCTCCAGAATTCATTGTAACTGGTAAAACAGAATCCTTTTCTTGCTTTGGGTGTTGACTTAAGTTAACCCCAGAACTCAATTTTTCCTCTATTTAACAATTGGTGTGTGTATCAAAGTCCATTAGAGAGAGTCTGATGACCTTCAGATGTATTACTGCCCTTCCTCTGCTCCTCAAAAACTTAGACAACCACATATGGGACCTCAATCTAATTAAAATGATCCTAACTACCCTAATATATTTTCTCTGCTGAGACAACTGCTGGAGTGAAGGATTTGATTGTCCCTATAATGCAGAGACTCAATCTGATTTAGAACTGTTTTCTCCTTCTTTCCTGGAGAACTCATTTTTTAAAAATGCTTTCCTATTCTAGAAAGAAGCACTAAAAGTTGTAGGAAAAGGCTCATCTTGGGGAAGGACTTAATAGTAAATAGCTAAAAAAAAAAAAAAAAAAAAAAAAAAGAGAAAAGAGAGAGAGAGAAAAAGCAACCAGCCAACCAAATCCTGCTCCTGCCTACTTTGTTCATCCTAGAGATCTGATGTAAACAAAAAAGTAACATTAAATTGAAAATAGTAAGTTTCTTTTAAGAACATTGCCAATATGGTATATATTTCATTAACCACAGCATGATCTGCACTACGTAAATTTCCTTCTGCCAAAATTGAAGACATCACACAAGGCTCACACTGAATTTGCGTGTACTGCCTAAATTTGCATGTGCCAACCACTTTTCAAATAAGTGAAAGTCTAGCTGCAAAATCATGCAGTTTCATATTTAAAATCATTCTTCTATTGCCCCTCTTTGGGCATTTTATTCCTTTTTCATTTGTGGCTTTTTGGAGGTACTGCAAGCTTCTTCCCCCTACACATTAACCGAGGTCCTGCGAGCCTGGACAATAAAGGCACTGAACACTGTAAGTGGCACATGCAAATAACCTGGAATGATTTTTATCGTTCATTAGAGCTTTCTCCTTTAACACACATCTACGACTGTGCTAGTTTCAGGAACAGCTTTTCCTGAACACAAGGTCCAGACTATGGAGATTTAAATCAGACCTTTTTCAGGTAATATGATTGTCCTATTACCGCCTGTATCTGTGGATAACAAATATTGCAAAACTGTGACATCTCTTTATGAACTACCAAAAGCACATTGCAGGTGGCAAACGTAGAGATTTGAAGAAACACAGGAGGAACTGTACTTTGAAGGACAAAATAAATACTGCTGGTTTCTCCATCCTGAACTGTGAGTGTACACCTGACTTACGTAGGTTTTCTGTGTGGCTGGGAAACTTGGGACTAGTTTGCAGGATAAGATGTGACAAGACCCTCTACTAAGGCCCTCTAAACACTCAGAGCTCAGGGAGGTTCAAAAAAAAAAGAGCGGGGGGAAGGAGGTCAGAATATCTCTGTCAAGGGGCTTTTGGATTTTCTCTCCTAACATGACGCTAGCTATAGTAAATTCTTTCTGGAACTTGTATCTCTTTCAACCTGACCTATCCGGAGAACATCAAACATATATATTCTTCAAGGATGAGACAAAAATACATCTTCATCCCACAGGACATTATTATCTGAAAAAAGATTCAGGTACCAGGGCTAAAATCAAAGATTAGTCTAAAACAATCTTTAATATAGCCAAAATGATAGATCTTTTTAAGTTATTTTTGTCCTTTTCTTGGTTATGATCCATGTTCTTTCAAGGCTTTTCTAAACGCATTTCATTCTTTTTCCACTGCCTGTTGCCCACCTCTTGAAGTCAACACATTAAGGCTCTCATCGATTCCACTGGACTACAGAATCAATATACAAGATACACATTGGACAGTGTCTACAACCTTGCTTTTTAAGTCCAGAGGAAACAAAAGGTGTTTAAAATCATTAAACATCTTGAAAACTTGAGTACAGTGCAACAGCACGAAAAAATGTCAAAAAAAAAAAGGCTGAAATGGTAATCCTTACTTTATTTAATTCCTGGATTCATATTAGGTATTTGCATACCAAGCTTTCTTACATACCAAATCATGAATCATGTTTCTGTATTGCATCTGTTTGAATTCTCTTCAGCCAGGACATATGAGCCTAAACACAAATAAACCAGCCTAATTTGTATCACTTACACTTCTGAATTTGGCCTTTAGAATACAGCATGTGGATAGTAATATTATGCTGCCTCTCTCTGTGAATGTTAGCACTGATGGATTACTTACTAACTTCCTTTAAAGGCCACCTTGTCATCTTGCTCGGCTCCAAGATTACAGCTTGGAGCCCTACGAAAGCATAAACTAGTGCTTGGAAGAGAGGACTAACAAATTCTAATGGCATCAGCACCACTATTCAAAGAAGAGGGAAAATTATGGGAAACACTGTTTATATCAGCAGTTTGTGTTATGACATTTTGCTGGGAAAGTTTGGCAATTTTCTGCTTGTAGAAGAATCATAACTGGGGAACAAAAGGAATCCAATCCGAACACCTACAGTGGACTGGCATTTACTGCAGATTAGAGCCTAAATACTCAAAATTATGTTTCTCATGAAGAGAGGGTGGGAAAAAAATCACTTACTTTGTGAAGGCTCTGCCTTCATTATTAATAACTACTTTTCACTAAAGGTTATTGCCTGGGCACCCATCTGGGTGGATATATTCCACACATGGGAAACTTTTCTTTTCTCTTTCCACTTCTTTCCAAGGTTTTCATCGACCTTTTCTTTTTAACTCTAGAAAGGTGTAATCTTTCAGGCCTGGCTTCCCTGCTGTTCCTATCAGGCCACTAGTTACCACCATACTGACTCAGACTTTCCAGAGGCGACACCTCAAGCTAAATTTATTGCACAGGGAACCAGAGATCTGTCATGAGTGACATGCAGAAAATTAATTTCAGGTATTACAAAGAAACTTGCCAAGCCAGAAGTAACAAGTGGCCAACTCCTGGGAAGGCTTTAGAACTGGTGTGAAACAGTTCCATTTCCTGCAGAGCAACATATTTACCAAGGCTCCTTCCAAAGGGGAGAGCGGGTTTCTTGGTTTGTTATTTGGGAAAGGTGTAGAGAAATTAACAAACAGCTAATTAATACCCTTTACTCTCCAGAACCGCACTAGCTGTTAGCTAAGCCAGCCACATTATTCAAATCTCTATGTCTCTTACTTAACATACTTTAATTTGATTACAAAGCCTATGTTAGACATGTTCAGAACAGCTGAAGTTGGGCACCTGAATAATAACTAAGAATTATGGTATTTTAACATATTTTTTCTTCGACATTTGCACTAATCCCATGCTGCCCAAATGTCTGAATCAGAGCCTTGTGTTCGCAGAGGAAGGTGATGAACAAGTAACTAGCCTTTTTGCCCGTGTTCAGTAGGGCCAATCTGAACACGCAGAGCCAACCTGACGTATCCCGCAGTTGGTGCATTTACTGAGGGCAGTGCTCAACATCCACATCGTTTCCTGGAAACATCACGGATGATGCCCTCCAGCACACACAGGCTCCTGGCTACAATCCAGCAATGGGATTGTAGGGTACAACATGCTACTGGTGGAAGGCCAGTCCAAGGCACCCTCCATCCTCGGGAGCAGACCAGGACTAACTGGGACACACCATGGCCAGGCAGCAGCACAGGATGGGTGAGTCGTCTTCTCAGGCAACGGGTAGCTGAAGAATCTGCTTACTGCATGCTACTCGTGTACAGCAAGATAGGAAGAGAACCCTATACCTTAGATAGGAAGGGAATACTTTGAAAAAAAAGGGATTTTGGATTGGAAGACACCCAAGTAGAAAGGAAAATTTATATACAATTTTCTTCAGATAGACGGTTATGAAAAATATTGAACTTATAATTTCATTTATTGCTGATTTTATGCAGTACCTGCAGAACATGTTGTATTATTAGTTGATTGCTATGATTAAATCCTATAACATTTTTTCAGAATGTTGTAATTAACTATATAACGTTTTATATTTTGCACAGCAAACCTAATACTTTTCTGATCTCTGCAGGTTAGGAAATTACATGCATATTTCATGATTTTTATTCCAATGAGTCAATGCTTTTTAATAAATTATTTTCTTAAGGGTTTCTTAGGGCTTCATAGTTTAGGACTTCAATTTGCTTAATATCCGCAGAGAGTGTTATCAGAGATTGCCAGTACTGAAACTGCTGAAAAAAAAATCTCATATCTCTTACATCTCTATAAAGGCACAACCCCAAGTATTGGTTGCAATGGAGACAATAATGTGATAGAGATTCTTTCAGCATTTCTTCAAAGTATACAAGTTATATTTTTAAAATCCATATGCTTCCTTGAATCCTAACAAAGTGAAGTAAAAGCCTTTATAGTCTTACTACACTGGACAGTAACAAATCCTCCATCACTTATGGATCTTGTCTAACAGAAACCTTTCCATGCCTTGCGTGACTCCCACAGGTGGACAAATGTTGAAACACACATAGCTGCAAACACAGATAGCATTATTTGTGATTGGGTTTGCCAGCGTACCATACTAGGCAGAAAGTGAATAGATTAGGAACACCTGCTTTACAAAGGAGCTTAGGATCTCTATGAAAAGTCTTACTGGAATTACAAGGAGTCTTTTTTAGATTTTTGCTATGTATCGAGAAAATAACAGGAGGAAGCTTTAAAGTTCCTTCTCTTTTTCTTTTGTATTTATATACTCCTTTTTAGCAGTGAGGGCTTTTTTCCTTATTGATTTTCTTTTGTTTGCTCAAGACCTCTTGACTGATACCTACAGAAACAAAACTAATGGCAAACAGAAATGGCATGACTGCAGGATCTACCACAGCAGGATTTTATGACCTTGCCTTTTATCCAGGCGTTAGCCGAATGGGTCCAGCTCTAGCTTCAGTATTACTCTATTCTTGCTCTAGGTCTCTCCATTGCACAAACGATCCTGCTAGCTTCCTGGTAGCTGTGTCACACAGGAAACCTATGCATTTCTGATTCATTTGGCAACATGAAGAAACAAAGTGATGCCCTGGCTTACATAATAAAAAGCTGCTCTGTGCCATTTAAAAGAAAAAAATAAAAGAATGACGGCTGTATCTTTTTTACATTCAATGAGCTGATCCCAGGATTTTATCTAAGGACTTTTTACTGGGCAATTGAGCTCTTTTGTGCTCTGTTACAAAAGTTTGATTTCACAATCCCAAAGGAAGAAGGAATTATTTAAATAAGCAGTGCTGGTCCAACCCTCTGTTAAGTAGGCACTGTCAGCTGGGTTAAAAGTGATTCAATTATACTTGCCAGTTTTGTGAGGGAGAGCATTACCTCCTGGATTATGGTTTCTGAGCATGTGCATATCACTAAGGACCTCCAATTAGATTTAAGCTATGTGCTTAGAAATAAAATGCTGGGCCATCACAGTTGCCTATTTTTACATTACCACCTCTGAAATCTGGTCTCCTTAGGAAACTGTGTAATGCAGCTTAAGTGATACTACTGTATATTGTTACGCTGATATTGTCACGTATTTTGACAACTTAGCTAGGCCTGTGACATTTATGGCAAAAAGAAAACAGAAGCTTGAGTGAAAAGAAAGCAAAAGCTAAAGCAGCTTTACCAAAGACGGTGAGCTCTGCTGGGTCGCTGTCTCGCTCCCCCACCATGTTGGTTCCAACACAAGTGTACATGCCCGCGTCGCTTTTGCGTGTATTGGAGATCATCAGCTTTCCACCACGTATCTGTTTGAAAACAAGGAATATATCTGTAACTTCAAATAAGAACACCAAGGTTATCAGAAAAACATAAACACTCTGCCTTCTCAGAGAGCAAAGTTGATCTGGAAGACATTTTATCCTTCTGGCCTTTTGACTGTATCTCATTTTTTTGTTGTCATTAGATGCTTTAGATTTCAAAGAGCACATTTCTTGCCTTTTTTGCAAGGCAGTGCTTGTACTTCTTGCATGATACTATGTAAACTATTCTTGATGGAGCTCTTTAAAAAAAAGTAGTGCTACTTAGTTTTATTTATTTATTTTATTGTTATTGGTGCTTGAACAATTTTTGTTGTTCACCAAATTAAGCGAACAAGACTGTTCACTTGGTGTTTTTTTTTTTTGGAGATGCAAGAAGACTGAATCAAGTCCACACTGAAAATTCACCTGGCTCCTATAAGCCTTATCATTTTCCCTACCACAGATGAAATTTGGAGAGTGAAAGAGCAGAGCAGCTACAATAAGCACAGTTACTAACTTGCAGCCTGTGGAATCATGGTCAGTGTCAAAAGTCAGAACATCAGATGGGATGCTTCAAAATAATCTAGGAATATAGTCCAAGAAACTTGAGAGGCAGGGAACAACAGCCAGTTCCCTGTCACTTTTCCTTTCTCCTTTACTCTGGAGTAGACCCTTACGGAGACAGCCTGGCCACAGCAACCCAAACAACTGCTGCCATTGCTTAGCTCAACGTACTGCCTCTGCCAACCAAGGCAAAGGACAAGTATTCCAGCAAGACTTCCATGCTGAATAAGAGCAGCACTGAATGAGTTATGTATCCCTACAAACATCATAAAAATTATGAGAGGAATATTCATAGTGAAAAGCTAAGCATCTAAAGAGAATAAAGTATGTCCGTGCAACCAGATTTTGCCTCATTTGTTTACACATACCATGATGCCGTTACTGACAACTCAGTAAGATAGATCTTCTAACTGGATGCTTTTTCCTTCAGTATGCAGAATGACCCACCCCAGAATTCAACCAGTATTACTCACTTACTCAATATGTATTCCCATTTAGGATATACTGCTCTTTAGAGTGTAACTGCAACCTTTGTTTAGAATGTAGTTTCCAATAACGGCACTACATTTGACAAACATCACCTTAAGTCTGTTTTCCTTGGAATATTTGTGAACATCATACAGATTGCTTAATTTGTTTTTAAAGGACCTCTTTGGTATAAGGGTTGATATTATTATCATTTCACAGAGAGTTGAGATGTAGAGAAGGTAAAGCCGAACTGGTCAAAAAAGGCCTCTAAGTGATGCAAAGGTGGAACTCCTCGTACCCCGTAGTAGTGTCTCATCTTCTATGATCAAATCTATAGCTTGCTCTGACTTCAGTTACAATGGTTACACAAATGAAGCCTCAGGAATTTCAAGTCAGACTCCAAAATCAGAAGGAATAAATGACTCTTTCTTCTTATTGGGGAAAGCTCACAGAAAAATACTGCCAACTGTAACGATGAGTCTTTATGAAAAAGGCAAATATACTCAGATCCATTCAGATCTGTTTCCCTCTGCTATTTCAGGAGCCCTGGCATCTCCGCGTGTCCTCACCATCATCTTGAACTGCATGTTCCTCTGAGATGTTTCTAATCTGTGCCTGTGAACTCCAAGCCAGGCAGCTTCTGACCTCCACTCCAGTGTTGCACAGTCAGCTATGGAGCAGGACCTAAAGCCATGAAGTCCTGCAGTGCTCAACCGCTGCGTTTTCATGCAGGCTCCATGTCTATAAACAATTTTTTTTTTAAATCATACTCACACTGATTCGTTCTTCCCTGTCATCGATGCGGACTTTGTCTTTCTTCCAGTAGATGGTGGGCTCGGGATGCCCGCGCGGCGGCTGGCACTCCAGGATGGCGGGCTCCCCCGCCGCCACCACCACGTCGGTCGGGTTCTGGCGGAAGTCGTCCCGTAGCACTGATGAAACGAATGAGAGAGGGGAGAGAAAGGTTACAGGAATAACACTGACCTGGGAGGAAAAAGTACACGCACACGCACATGTATAATTAAAAGCTCCCAACGTTAAACTGGCCTCGATTACTGTTAGGTGATGACATTTTATTGTACATTTTCTAAAAATAACCTCACAAAAGAATTTGCTGAAGCATGATCTTTTGTCAAAAAGAAGCAGATTTAATATGTGTTTTTTCCTTATTTTTTTAATGTTTCCAATTTGAAAATGTTGCTCTGCTTAAAACAAACGAACAAAAACTCCTAACTCTTTACCCTTGACAAGGTCATGTGACATTACAGGAAGCAATATTCCCTGCAAAAGTGATAGTGCACCGAGTTATTCTCAGAAAAGAATACAGCAGGTGGTATACACGGCTTCCAAGATATCTAATTTCAGTATAAACCAGTTAAAGAAGGGATACTACTGATACTGAATTGCAGAGATTTGCCTTGATTGAAGGTAGTTTAATTATTATTATCATTACTGCTATTATCACCAAATAGACGCTGAAGTGATCGTCACTTTTGAAATGTGCCAAGCAAATCAAGCTGACGTTAGTGTGCTACCACAACACCTGCTTCTTCCTATATTTTTCTTATACTCTGATCGCGTTGTCCCAAAACACGTTAAGGAGAAAAACATTTAAACCACCGCTGCTTGAAAACTAAATTAGACAATGCATGCTAGCTCCTTACGTAAAACATGCTCCTATAGAGAGGGATTAGGTCCAACACTCTGCCTTGAGTGTACTAAAATGATACCCACTTCATTGCTATTCTTCCACGTGTGTCCTAGTCTCTAGGTTAATTGACATTCTTATAAACATAAAACTGAAAATAGCTCTAGATGAGCTACTGAAATAGAATTTAGGGCATTTCCTCTCCTTGCATCTCAGCAACGCGCAGCTTTCATTAGAGCTCTAAGACAGTTCTCGCCCTTAATGGAACCGGGGCCCTCTGAGAAATTAGCAAACACTGTAGTCTAGCAAAGGGGCAAGCCAGAAAGAGTTCAGCAGAAATTGTTCACTCTCATTTTATAAGTAGAGGTAATTTACTGCTTTCAATGTTAATAAAATGTGCCCCATTTTAACATGTGGACCTGAATATTTTTCCATTCGGTAATAAGCCAGAAGAAAATATGATTAATGACTACAAGAAATACTCTCTGAATGGAGTGAGGTGAGGGGGGCTTAAATGGGACTTCTCAAATGACACATGAGGTAACTTTTATTGTTCCCCTTTTTGGGATACACAGGTGGATCCCAAAGGAAAGTGGGAATTAATTGGAAATTAATTCATTTTCTAACACAAAAGTGAGCCATTATTTAGGTCTTGCTTTTCAAGCATAAAATAAAAGTGACAGGACTTGTTGGCAGTAAATGCCACTCTGGCAAGAAACTGTATTCTTCCCAGATAACACGTCCAAAACATATCTTTTTTTTTTCCCAACAACTAACTTAAAGTCTCCCCAAAGTACCTCTGATACAAATCACTAATACACTTTACAGTAACTCTAATCAAATCAACAGAAATAGAATTCATGAAGTTTTAACATAAAGTGGAATAAAATGATGTAATGCACAACATAAATAGTATGCTAAAAAATCACTGGCTGCTGACTCCCAGGCTTTACAACATTTTGCAAAGAAAGCCAAGAAGACTAATATCACAGCAGCTTCAGGAAAGGCACCAGGAACAAAAGAAGTCTTCAAAACTACCCACTTTGGGAAGCATCTTTATGTTTCTCTGTGAGCATAAGATACCTGGGACAAAAAATTACTTCCAGGCAGTGATAAGCCCTCTCACACACAACTGGCAAAGAGACATCAAGCATCAATTTCTCCCATTATTATGACACACACACACACACACACACACACACAATCATATTAGTTTCGATTGGCTTGATTTTTTGCAAAGTTACAGAACTTCATGCATATCCATTAGTGGAAAATCTCCAGAAAACCAGCAGATCCCAAGGCCAAGAAGTTTCCCATAGCGCAATGACTTTATAATCCCAACTCCGAACTCCTGGCAGCAAGACTAAGGAAAGTGCTATCTAAAGTTGCCAAACAGAGTTTCTTGGGGTGATACACAGAAAAATTGCATTAACTTCCTCTGAATCATTCCAGAAACTGTATAGGGCTCCAATCAGTCTCAGATTATGAGGGTAAGAGGTGATTTGACTGTATCGGTTTCCTTTACCCAAATCTTATTGCAAATGTGACTTGAATGGAAGATCAAAATTGACGTTACAAGGTTTACTTAATCTTGTTCCACACCTCAACACACATGTGAGTCTCCAATGGATATAACCATCTAAAGCACTCTATGTTTTCGAGGAAAACAACAACAAAACAAAGGTGGTTAGAAAAGATGAATCAGGGAAAAAAATAAAACATGAGGAGAAAGAGATAAAAGAAAAAAATGTGTGGAATATAGCTTAAAGGCAGAAAACAACTGAGAGAGGAAAAGTGGGAGATGCTCTAAACTTAGTGCAAAAACAAACAAAAAACCCAAATAAATGAAGGAAAGGAGGAAGAAAAGCAGAGGGAACAAAAGGTGAAGAATAGAGGGCATAGGGTATTGTTCGTACGATTCAGTGCTCTTAATACAATATAACAATGTCAATATAAAGCACAGGCAGGAATCTGATCAGCAGAGCTATCCCAGCCCGCTTAAACGTCTCCTGAGAGAGCAGGAGCAGGGAGGAGAGAGGGCTCGCAAGGGAGGAAGGAGATTTCAGATTGGGAACGGGCAAGCTGAGGTGTCTGAGCACAGCAGCAGCCGCCGCGATCAGCAGCAGAAAGGAGCAGCCACTGCAAGTTGAGTTCACACTTATTACAGGGGGAAATGGAAAAGTTGCAGTACAGCTTAGTGCATTCACCATAGCTAATAGCGCAATCATCTGTGAAAAGAGAAAAATGGTTGAGAGCTGCAGAATATTCCTCAACCAATTATCCCCGATTGCTCCATGCTTTCAGATACCGGTGAGCGTGCTGGAGCCGGGCCCTGTATCCAGACACTGATGGGAGCTTGTGGCCTCCTTGGGCTCTTCCCGGCAGTGTACAAAGAGGAGCGTCTTAGAAACTCAAGACAAGAGGCGAGAAGCTACCAGCAGCCTCCTTTTCTTTGCCCTTTTTTTTTTTTTTTCAATTTTCCAGTCTTGTCTTGGTACCTAGCACAAGGCGCACAGTACCCTTTGGGCTTGTCATCAGCATTACTCAACATTTAACAAATGATCTCGAAAAGAAAAAAAAGTGAATATCCAACATTATAACTACAGCGCACCCAAAATCCCCCAAGCGAGAGACCCCGAGGATCACTGCTCAGCCCAGATGTCAAACATGGCAGCACAAAGGAGAGCCGTTTCCCTCCAGCAGTATTTGGAGATACAAGAACTTTGAACCTCAAAAACTTCTGATTTTCGCTACGCTTCACTGTTTGGAAAGGCAGTGTGGGATTTGAGTGCTGCAAAGGGTAGCTGAACTGTACATATAGCCTATAATGATGCTGTGGACAAAAGTTAATTAAAATTTGATCAGCCTCTTTGTAGTTCTAACCAAACTGACGCTGCTCAAACAAGATAGAGGTCTGCAAACTGCCATACCAGCCTTTACGTCGTTCAGAGTTCTGTGAGGCAATTTATAGATATGCCTAACTATAATAAGGGAAAGTAGCTACATGTAGCAGTAATAAGATAAAACTTCAAGGCTGTGCAACTGCCACAGTCAAGAAAAAGAAAGAGAGAAAAAAACAGCAGAACATAAAAATGTTCTGCTACCAAGGCAGCTGCTTACCAGCTTCTGCCAGCTTCGGCCCAACTCCAGCTCTTGGTCAAGCTGATGCTCATAAACTCAGGCAATTATACAGAGACGGAATTAATTTCCTCAGTCGAGGCTCCAGCAACTTGTTTAAAGGAATTGGAGATGAGACAACAGTGTTTATGGGGCAGGAGGGAAGGTGAAGGGTCAAAATTATTCCAGGCTAGACTACCCATGCCTTAATACTGCTTTCCACTAGAGCAGCTCTCAGGCCCTTTAGAAAGAAAACATTTTTACAGGATTTACATTTACATGATGATTACAAATAACCATCTGTCTGCTCGCAGTTCTTCAATCTGGTCCGCGTCCCGCGAGCCCCGCCCCTGGCCAGAGCCGCGAAGCGGGAAGGCAGCGGCGCAGGAGCCTGCAGTAACGGCCTTCTCCCCGCAGCCGCGCTCGCCTCTCCACCACCTCCCCAGCACATGCGGCCGGTGCCTGAGAGCACTGCGAGGCTGAGAAAAGCCTAGATTCCTTCCCTTTCTCAGTGAGTGATAATGTCTTAAAAAGTGGCTACATCTGTCATACTGACTAGAGCGAATACTGCGTAATTATCAATGCACCTCTCTAACTTGGGTCCTGGTAGCTTATCCTGTCCTACCTGATCTGTTTTGTACTTACCTGAGGATGATCCTAACCCTAATGCAGATTTTATGCAGCCACGCGGGTTGGTCCTATGTCACACACCGGTAGCTCTCCCCTGACCTGAGGCACTGCCCCACAGGCATTTTCCTGAATCTGCATCTCTCCATGGTTTCCTGGCACTTCTCTCCTACGAGACGCATTCATATGCGCAACCAAGATGAATTATAATGTCAAATAACTGCCCAGATGTCACACACTGGGCAGATTAAAGTATTATTATACTCTAGATAATGTGCAGTGCTGGGAGGTATTCCAGTATTTTATGATCTCTTGAAATGGCCTTAGAGCAAGCTGGCATTACCTGTTGCAATGGGGTGACAGGAAAAGAGCAAGGGGTGGCAGACCATCTTCCTTGTGAAGGGTCACACACTTGGTTTCTTGGTTTCTCTTGTTTCAGCAGCTGCCTCTGTTACTGTTCCCAAGAGAAAGGTTCAAAATCACTAGCCAAGGCACGGGTCTGCTCATATGGCCACCTGAGCCTCCTCTGCGCAAGCACAACTTCATCCTGAAAAAGGTGCTAACTGCCATGAAGATCCTGGAGAAAATGCTGAGCAGGAACTATGCATATATTTTCATCTCATCTACTCTCCTACCTCTGCTATAATAATACCTATGAGACATCAATTACACAGCAAATTTACCATGACCCATAACATTCAGCCTGGTTTATCTCAGATGGGGTCCCAAAAGCAAGAAATTCATTTTCAGAGGTGCTGGGGTATTTTCAGAGATGCCAGTAGCTGCAGCAATGCTTGATGTTTACATATATACTTTTACCTATACATATAGGGAGGTAGCAAAGCTTCTCCCACTAGTTTTAGATCTTCTGCGCACTATCCTATGCTGACAGGAAAGATTCCCTAACAGTGAGGGTGACAGAGCACTGGAACAGACTGCCCAAAAAGGTTGTGGAGTCTCCTTCTCTGGAGGTCTTCAAAGCCTGCGTGGTCCTGTGCCAGGTGCTCTAGGTGACCCTGTGTGTTCAGGGGGTTTGGACTAGATGACTTCTAGATGTCCCTTCCAACCTTAACGATTCTATGATTCTGTGATTCTATGATTAACACTGAATATTGAATATTGAGTGCTTGATTACCACCCAAGATTAAGCATAGCTTGCTCTTTATTTTTGGGCCTCAGTAAAGACTAGGACAATGTTGAAAAACACTTTATTTTGACACATCCTCTGAAACAGCTCATTCAAGTAGACAGAGGTATTTATACAATTTGGACTTTTTGATGAGCATTAGTGTCTAGACTTGAAAGCGTGAGACTCTTGCTTCTAAATATAGAATCTATTAGACAACATTAACAGAGAAGCTAAGAATTACAGGACACAGATTCCAAATGAAGACAATGGGAGTCAGGCTCAGGCAAAAAAAAATCAAAATAAAGTATTTTTTCCTGCTAAATTTCAGTCTGAACTAGATAATTAGACAAAGGTCTTGACAGAAGAAAGGCTTCTTCCTTTCTTATTTCCAGTAGATATTGCAAGAGTCAAACTTTGAAAGGTTTCTGCAACTATTAAAGCAGTTAAGCGCATCACAAACCTATTTTCCTTTTTTTTTCACAATTACATAGTCATGAAATTTAGTTGTTACTTCTGATTTTTTTTTCAGGCTGCTATTGTGCTGAATTAAGTGTATACAATAAAGCTTGAATACACTCACTGAAAAATTGTATAATGTCCTTGTGATTCATTGTGTTCTGCTGAATGCAATCTGACATCTCCATATTTTTTTTCTGAAAGATTTTATTTGACGACTAGATGGCATGAAGAGCGGAGATTTTTCTAATTGAGAACATACAAGATCTATGTTTAAGCCTGCTGATTGAAAACAGAATTCTACCAACTCTCTTCCCTGCCCTGAAATCCCAATAACCTTCTATTGTTTTAAAATTTCCAGCTCTGTCCACCAATAAATTTGAATGCTGTGGTTAACAGTCAGCAATCACAGTACCCACCTACCATAAATCTTCAAGTGCATCACTGTGTTTTGGCGATCAAAAAAGGGAAGGAGAAATAATAAGCATTACCAAGTACTTTTTATGAATACGAATATCCTAAAGACTATTTTAAAATAATTTTAGAAATCCAAATCTATATGATGTGATAAGTTGATGCAAAGCTGATTTCTTTTTTCTTATTTACAAAGAAACCACTCTTCATGAATGCACTGTGCAAATTGCTAATGTTAACAAGAAATGTTACCAAGAGATACACCGACTAAAACCTTATTGCTAAAACCTAAAAGTCCAGAGCCTACAGAAGGACTGGATCACAACTGCAGACAATGAACATTGAAAAATGTACATAGTCTATCGTAAGTCTTAAGATTTAACAAGGATTAGACATGTAGTGGTTTACTAGAACAGTTATTTAATGATCCTTGCAACTCAAGTCTGACATTTGCTTTTACGTGCTCTTTACGCTTAACGGGCTACATATTCAGAAGATCATGGGCAAGTCATTTATTTTTTCCCAGCTAATGTGAATATCAGATGAGGAGCTGAGTGTAACTTCAAAAAACATCACATCACGGCTGAAATGTTGCATTTTCCCTGCCCCCAGTATTCCAGTGTGTCTGCTTCAGAATGCGGGACTAGTTTCACTGGAGCACTGTAGGACTCTTCAAATCACGTCAACCCTCCGCTCCTCTCACAGAAATAGAGGGGGAAGGTCTGGATTTGCTGAAGAAAGGTTTCCCAGGTATTTCTCATAGGCTACTGTCAGAGATAGGATATAGCCCTAGACAGAGCTTTGCTCCGATGCAGTGCAGCCGTTGTAAGACTCCACAAGCACAATCCAGAAAATGTTTAAGGGAATGATAGATGCAATTTTTGAAAGCATTGGTACCCAAAACACTGCTATGGTTTACTACACATCAGAGATGCACAATGCACTGAAATGGGGAGCACAGTATAGATTCCCCAGGAAAAGATAAAGTCCCCAGGGACTTTCTTTTTAACTTCAGTGCCCAGGGCTTCCAGGTGGAGCCCAGCCACAACACGTAAAATGTACGTGTGCCCTCAATAAGAGCAAATGAACGACCAGAGATCAGAACTGTGTAAACAAACAGAAATGCGTACTGGTTGTTCCAGAAGCACCTAAAGTCGAATGCCTCATTTCACCAAGAGAAAACAGCGAGCAGCCTCTGAGCAACGCTGGTGAGCAAGCAGGCCCTGAGGAATCTCCCACGTGCCCACGCACACGCACAGAGAAGCCGGGCTACCACCCGCCCTGGCGGGGCCCGGTCACAGGGCGCCATGCGGCCCCTCAGTGCCGGGCACATGGTGCCATCGGGGCTGCCTCAGCGCCTGGCACACGGCGCCATGGGGACACCTCAGCACCCGGTACATAGTGCCATGGGTCTGCCTCAGTGCCTAGCACACAGCGCCATGGGGGCTGCCTCAGGGCCCAG